AAGTATGCTTTTTTTTCTGAATTATACCCATGATAATTAGAAAGATTACTAAATTACCCACAAAGATACAGTCCATTAGTTTTGGTATACTTAATAACATATTTCTGGTTAAAGATATTGAATTTAGTAGTAGAATAGTCTACTAAATTTTTTTCCTGGTTTTTATATTAATTTGATTATTTCTAAAAGACATCTGGTTGTTCTTATATTATATTTCTGGTTTATTATTTTCAATAATCAACCATTGTGATCGACCAAAAAATTCAAAAACTTAACCCCCTCTCAAACATTTTTTTGTCCATCCGCCGTCCGCCGTCCGCGCATTTTCTCCGAAACTACTGGACCGATTTTTATCAAATTTTGATATAAAATCAGAGGTCACCCGAGGATGATCCTCCTTCATCGATATTACTCTCTGCCTTCAACTTTCGAAATGGTGGCCGAAAAACCTGCGTTGCTATAGACTGTAGCTCCTAAACGAATGTACAGATTTCAATGAAACTTCGCTAAAGTCATTTTCCCAACGCCCTTTAAATTTATCTATATAACACACTTCAACGAAAAGAAGCATTTTTTTTTTTTTTTAGCATATTACTAATGATTAAAGAAAAACAGTTTAGTCCAATAATAGGAATCACCTTTTGTTTTTTTTCTTTGTAACTCGGAAGGCAATGATACTTTAGATGTATAATTGTTTGGAAATAATAAACCATATTGAAATATTTTGCAGCGTTTTTTTTAATAATTTAGAATATCATATGATCAAGGCATTATTTTTTCTTTATTACTTTTCAGTCAGCGTTTAAAAATAGGTCCTAGCAAAGCAATTTGTATAAATATTTCGGTCTATTATGTTTAATGGAATATTGTAATCGACTAAGGAAAAAATATAAATTTCTTCCTTACATAATATATAGGAACTACTTATCTCGTTTTTCTTTTTCTTCACTAAACAAAATTTTCTGCGAATTTTTCGCACGGGCCAACTAGTTCAATTAAAATCGTGACCACCTTAAGAAAAAATCGAGTACAAAAGTAAAACTATCCGGCAGAAATATCAATATTTTTTTAGGTAAAATAAAAAAATATGGGTATTTTCCCCATATTCCTGTACTCCCGAAGACTGCATATAACATTACACCTGTGCATCGGGAACTTGTGTCCCTGAAAACCGCTTCGCGAGCTTATTGCGTAAGGGAATCCCCTTCGTCGTCAGGCAGTGTATCGCCGGCCTCGCTCTGGGAAACCACGCGTATTCCAGTTCTCGAAATATATATACATATATATACTTCCACAGGATGTGCGGTTTCACTCAGTTTGTTCCTAGATCTAGTACGGTGAAGTTGTAGTGTCGGTTTCTGTAATTATCAAAGTTTTCCATGGATAACAGTTATTTGGCTGAACTTGAGGTAAGCTGTTTATAAATAAATTAATAAATAGAATATGATGTAAATATCGAATGAAAATATCAAAAATTCCCAAATAAACCGATAGGGAAACGAGATTCACATTGAATTAAAACCTTAGAATATTAAGAGCACAATTAAATATTTAAGTATCCCTTCATTAATATTTTAAAAACAAAAACGAGAGCTAGAAATAGAAAGCTATAAATAAAAAAATCGATTAAGTAGCTTTATATATATATATATATATATATATATATATATATATATATATATACGGACTTGTTAATCCCTGGTACAGACCCCTATTACGAATTATTAACATCCGCCTAAAACTTCGTAAATAATTTCATCTCATTGTAACCTACAAATATTTTATTTACGAAAATTCTCGGAATTCGGGCATAAACTATTTAATTTGGTACCTGTTATTGTCTATTTAATGTTGTAATTATTGCCTGAAATTAGCTACGCTGCATGGTTTTTAATTTTTTAAATAATGAATTGTATACAAGTTTATACATAACCTCATTTTTTAAAATATATTTTAGAGGTTTAAGTCATGCCAAATGGCTCAATATTTTTTTAAAGACCACCTTTTTTTCCTCTGTTTTGTGATCAGATTATCTTACGATCCAAGTGGAAAACAAATGGGTATTTACGAGTTTTAGTATTTTTATTTATTTTTATTGATGATATTTACAACTGTATTACATATAAAAATACATTCAGTAAATGTGAACAAAAGAATATAATAACATGAAATCACTTGTTGAGAAACTACACACTGATAGCACTGTAAAAATGTATTTACAAAAGGAGATCTCGAGGCCATCTTCTTTTCAGACGCCTCGGAGGGCTTGGTATTAAATAGATAAAGTTTGCCGATTTCCAGATGGAAAACGTCCCAATTCCAAGAGTTTTAGTAAATAAAATAGTTCTAGGTTACGGTGAGATGAAACTATTCACGAAGTTTCAGGCGGATGTTAATAATTTGATAAAAAGGGGTCTGATACCACGGACTATGATTTCAAAAGATTAAAATCTATTAAATTTCCTGTAAAATTTTGTAATCTCCTCAACACTTTAACATTTTTTTTTCTTTTTCTTGTTGTTCATTATTGACCTAGTACATATTTTTGCCGTCTTAACAAGCCTACTCCATCTGATCCAGGATTTAATTTTGGAGGAAGGGCTTCACCTAGAAAGAATTTTTTCCATATATATAACGATAATTAATTTTTAAAAAAGAAAGAAAGAAATTAACTTCGTATATGAAATGGTATTTAAGTGCTCCTTGTAGTCCTATTAAATGTAATTACACGAACAATAATACTTTAAGAGATAGTTTTTAATATTTTTTTTTCTATAAAACATGGTTATATTTTATCGTTTTGGAAGAGGGCTTCAGACCCAAAGCCCCTCCCCCCCCCCACTAGATCCGCCTGTGATCTTGGGTATTTCCTTCCAGTTATCTGCAAGCAGCTCTATTGTATATTTGGTAACTCCATCTATTCAATTTTATACACATACATAATTATGCATATATATATATATAATATAGTCAACAATCTGAAATACCTAAATAGAAATAAATGAATTGATTAACAGATATAGTTTGGATTATCACAGGTCGCCTTCGATTATCTCATCGTTAATTGATCCACATTCTAGCGTCGGCGTTGAGCGATTCTGAGGAAAATTTACCCGATTTCGAAATTAGCTACTCTTTTCAATACGTTTCTCTATAAGTTTTAAATATAAACAGAAATAAATAATAAAGTCTTAAACTAAAATAGTATGTGTGAAATATACTTTAAAGTACATTAACACACATTTTTAAACAATTTTTCTTTCATCATGAAATCAAATATATAGGAAGAGAAAATATTAGGATTCGAAAATTTCGAATATGTATTTTCAAAAAGAAATACATGTTTCAAGGCACCTTGTGTCCAAATCTTTCCAACTGGTTTTTTCTTGTCAAAAACAGAAATTAGTATGCAATTGAAATCAGGTATATTTAGTATAGGCCTGGGATATTACAGTAACGTTATCGTCTAAACCGACTAACCATAAATGTTATTTTATATCATCCAATTTTTTACAGTTTTACAATTTTCTCGAAAATGGCTCAAACGGTTTTTATTAAACTCGTAAATCGATATAAAATTAAATGGTCTTTAATATCATTTAGAATAATCTGTCTCTTTGAAATGGTTTGACGGGGCATAAATATTGAATTTTAAAAATTTCTGTCTCTATAATACCTTAAATTTTGTTTATTAGAAATAATTATAGGTCCCTAATTGTTTGTACTTTATTGTAAAATTGGTTAAATATGAAGTATGAAAGAATTTTATAATTAACTGAAGGAGAGAATAAAAGAAATATTTTCTGCAATAAGAGTAGTAATATAGAAGTATGATATACCGTTAAAAACAAAATATTATAGAAAAATTATTATGTAACATATAAGATTGTGGACGGTAATGGAGATTGTCCAAAACGTAATTTTCGCATAATGACCCCTAAATACCAGATAGCAAAGGTGCGGCACAAGGAAGAAAGACTTGCTCCATTCTTTTACGTCACGTATAATCCAGACATTCCAGACTCATGTAGGGATTTAAGTTCGGAAAAATTATTGATATAAATTGTATCGATGTTTTTGAGATATCTCGATATAATATGAGATAGGAATATAAATATCCAACAATAATATTCGGACATATATTATTGGTATTTATCAAATAAATAAATGAAATGAACGATATCTATAGACTCTAAAAAAAGTATCAATTGATTAAAGTTTGCCAATAAGGAAAACCAAAAATATTTTTTAGGAATTAGGAAGTATATCAATTTAAAAGAAGAATTTCAAACCCATTTTTCTCATATTAGAAATATTGGGATACTTCACTGATTGATCTTTCTCATTTAAATTAATTGGTTTCCTGTATGATGTGATAGAGAAAAAAACATCAGTTTATTAAATGAATCCTCAATGGACTTTTTCAAAGCGATAATTAGGAGAAAAAAACAACAAAAAAAAACAAGGTATATCCTTTAGACCACAAAATAGAACTGAAAACATCAACAAGGAGAGATTAACAATATGAAATATAAATTATAAATAATAGCTCATTATAAAGAGGATGAAATACTGAACATTTCACTCTCTTACAGTATGCAGGTCCGATTTTTTAGTTTCCGATATATTTTAATCCATATCTTCCATAAAACTCGTTATCATTTGGTTTTCGATATTATTTTTTTCCTTTTCGACTCTATAAAACGGTGCCAGGTTAAGATACAAATTTGAATAATAGCTCATTACTGAGAGGATGAAATGCTGAACAACTTCCTCGCTTACAGTATGCAGGTCCGGTTTTTAGTTTCTAAAATATTTTAATCCAATTGTTATTACATTTAAATTAGTCGACTCTAGTAGAATGAGCGTTAACACTTCGGAAATCTGACGGATAAATCTAATTCACTATCTACGAAAAACTGCAAAACGTGCCTAAAGAAGTTTTCATTTCAAAAATAATTTTAATTTTTGTATTTCATTTTCATCAAATTATAATTAACATGTTATTTCGTTGGCAGAGTATGAACGGCGACGAAGATTTGAGCGGCTCGTCCTCGAAGGACAAAGGAGCTAGCTATGGAAGGTACGCGGCGAAGAAGACCGTGGCCCAAGGGATGATGGACCTAGCTCTCATCACAGCCAACGCCAACCAGCTCCGCTACGTCATCCAGTACCAGAGTGCGTCACCAACGTACTATTTCGTGTTTACCCTAATCGTCATCAGCATACTCATACAGGTTAGTTGGACTTTTATATTACAATACGGTACTGGTATTGGTCCAAATGCTCCTTTTTCACAAAACCCTGATAACTACCTTGAGGTTGCCGCTGCGTTCTTACCTGAATGGGAATGTCAAGATACATTTCCCGGAACCGCCGAGAAATAAAAATTAACTGACTCAGGTGGGAATCGAACCCACGACGTTCTTTGAGCACTCTGAGACCCATTTCCCGACGTGCTCGGCCATCTTATAATATGGCCATATAAACCCCTTTTCCGGCTCTTAGGAGCGATCGATTTTGATGAATGAGGTACCAGATGAAAGAGGCAAATATCGATCCTCAAATTTCTTCAACAACTGTTATAAAAGGCATCGAAAAAATTGGGAGGTTTCAAAACTCAGATGGTTTCTAAGTCACCGAATCGATAAGGGTTAAATCATGTTTCAATACTTTCCATACTTGTACTTTTTCCATGGCGCTACAACTTTTGTATATTCAGGGCTTTCAACCGCCAGTCATCTCTGAGAAATACTGCCATCTTACAATCGTGAACTCCAAGGATAGCTCGGGCATCTACTTGGACTCCGTCAGTGTTTTTGGTCTGCTATTATTTTCTCAATATACAGGGTGTTTCAGGATTAAGTGGCCAAACCTTCAAAAATGAACCTGAAAACAAGAAAAAAATTTCCTCTGATGTTATGTCCGCAAACGCTTTGTTTAGGAGGTTTTCACACCTAAAGATTTTCGTTATTATGAATTTACGTTATAAGAAATAAATAAAAAGTATTTATTTGTTCTAACTACTTTATTAATTAAATGTAAACATTAACATTCATATTAAATGTTAATTACAACTGCTAAATGTTAATTATTCCAATAATTAGACCAGTAGATTCGCCTGCACGCTCTCCAGACCTGACACCACTGGATTTTTTATTTGGGGTGACATTGCAAGTCCGGTCAATGACCTTAATTCCTTACGAAGAAGGATAATTGAATCTCGTGAAACAATAACACATATCCAGTGCCGTTCTGCCACTGCTGCTGTTGAAGAAAGATGCTGAGCCTGTCTTAATGCTCAAGGAAATCCCTTTGAACAACATTTAATATGGATTTTATGTTTATGTTTACTCAATAAAGTAGTTGAAAAAAAAAGTTTTATTTATAACAACGAAAATCTTTAAGTGTGAATATCTCCTAAACAAAGCGTTTGCGGACATACCTTCATAGGAATTTTTTTCTTGTTTTGAGGTCCTTAATTCATATTTTCAGTTTGGCCAGTTAACCATGAAATACCCTGCATAATCTCCAGCCATTAAACGACCGTGCCCAGCCCATCTCAATCTACCAATCCTTATTCTTCTCAGAACATTACTATCTCGGTATAGCTCTTGCAGCTCATCGTCCATTCGCATTCGCCTCCCTAGTTGTTATCGAGTACTGGGTCGAATATTCTTCTTAGAACGCGACGTTCAAACCGAAGAAAGGCTACTTCTTGGGTTCTTGATAACATCCAACACTCCGAGCCATATGTTAAGACAGTTCTAATTATATGCGCAACTTGGTTGTGCGTGAGATCACTCGACTTTTTAGGTGTTTTTGAGGTCTAAAATAGGCTCTATTTGCGGTTGTCTCAGGATTTCTGCATTCATATCACTGTTTATATTAAACTGGGAGATAAAGTACAGTAAAAATTGTATTTTATTACCAGATTGATATTTGCAAGATCTCCGGATATTTTTTTGACAGTTTTGAAACGATATTCTAAAAACTGCCCTCGAATACTATATTCCATACGCGTTTACTCGCTTTGTCACCCCTTTACAATTTGTTCTCTGATGTCTAAAACGTAAAACAGAAATAAAAATTTCAAATCTGACTACACAATATTTCTTTTATTTTCTCTTGCAGAAATATAAATCTTCTCTACCCTTGGTAGTGACAAAGAAAAAAAAATAATGCATAACAACAATAAATAATAAACGCTTATAAAAATATAAAATGCATTATGATTTTTCCTCTGTGCTAAGCCTTTTCTAGTTCTGGGTGAAATCAAAGCCACCAAGTGGAAAAGTGTTTTTCCTCCAACACGCAAGCATACTTTCTCTAAAACCTGCTTTGTTCGGATCGACTTTTAATGTATTTTGTAAAATCTAAATCTGATGAACAAGAACAGTAATAATGTTGGATATAAAATTAATAAAGAAAAAAATACTATTTTATAAGACGGTATTCTTCTATTTTATCTTATAGCTCCGCCGTATTAGAGAGGCGAAAAGGGAAAAAAATAGTGTCGAAAACCAAATGATAACGAGTTTTATTGAAGATATGGATTAAAATATCTCAGGAACTAAAAGTCGGACTTGCATACTATAAGCGAGAGACATGTTCAGCATTTCGTTCTCCTTATAACGATCTAACATATATAATTTATATTTCTTATTATTAACCTCGACTTGTAGATTGTTTTCACTTGGTCATGTGGTCTAAAGCATACACCATAGTTTTTTTTTTTATAGATTTTTCTTGGTGGCTTTACAAACATTGTAGATCTTTTGCCAGTCTTCTCCATCTCAATCTGCATGGGCTATTTTTTCCAATTATCTGCACGCAGCACTAGACCATCTTCGTTGATTCGATCTATCCATTTCTGTTTGACCTTAAATTATTGAGGCACGCATTGTTGTATCGAGGCTTTCTGATGGATTGCTCCAAACTGTATGTCCCGCCTATCATAACCTCGTTGTTCTTCAAGGTATCCGATATTGATTGACTGGTTTCTATAAGCTTCTTATCCATATGTTAGTACTCTGATCCCAGATAGCTCCGGAATTTTTAGCTCCGAGAAAATTTGTCAAAAAAATTATAAATACATCTTTATGGAGTTTAGGAACATTTGAAGAAGAGAAGAAATCTTTGTTTGTGCTTGTTGTACGTTGATCTATTTTGAGATTCCTTTCTAGGTTCCGCTACGTATTAAATTTGAACATACCAAGACCGGATTCGAACCGGCGGAACTAGACTCGAGTATGTCAATGTTTACGCTTAAGTATGCTCGAACATCAGGATATCTAAGCATTATTACCGAGTGGACCTTCTTTGTTAAAATTATACTTCGCCTTCTATGCTAGGAGGTAGAAGTATTCCTCTCAGCAGGCCAGTACCATCTCGTGAGTAACGTTTTTTTAGGCTTAGGATAATCTCAACAGAGCCATTTTCTGGATTCCTTTCTGTCGTGACGGAGGTTTTAGATTTTTAAGGACGCCTATGGTACTTGGTAGTACTCTGTGGGTTACCGGGAATCTGAAACCCCATAAAGTGCCTTCATTACGACTCCTGATCCATCTTCTGTTGAACCTTTAAACAAAGTAGAAGATACCACAGGCGGATTTACGGGGGGGCTTTCGGGCTGAAGCTCCCCCCCCCCCAAAATGGTAAAATGTAATCATGTTTTATGGTAAAAAATTATGTCTTAAAGTATTATTGCTCGTTTAATTACATTTAATAGGGCTTCAAGAATCACTTAAACACCATTTCATATAGGTAGTTAGTATCTTTCTGTTTTTCTAAAGTAATTATCGTTATATATATGAAAAAAAAAGCTTCCGGGCTGAAGCCCCCCAAAATTAAATCCTGGATCCGCTAGTGGAAGATACTATCGATTTTTCTTGCATATTCATGACTAGGGTGAGACCATTGTAAATTTTAGAATGGCTTTCATGAAGCAAAAACATATGAAGAAATATAAGAAAACATGTTCCAGGTTCAACAAAGAAAAATACCCTGAGCGTGTTCTAAATGCATCAAATACGTATGAGATTGGCATAAATAGATTTCCTTCATGAATATTTACAAAAATGTATAATGAATCCAAATGGCTGTCATCAGAAGATCAGCTGATACCATTTAGAAATGTCTTGTCGTGTTTTCACGCCTGACATAATTAGCGTATGGAACAGCTGTTTATTCAAAACATGGCGACAGTCATAAGTGAATATCAGTTGGCAAAGGTTGAGTATAATTTACATCAGCCTTAAACAGCTCCTTATCTCGTATATGTCTTCATTTGATATTCATGTATTCACTTTTTCTGTCAGTAAAAAGGTATCATAAACAAAAATTTATGCCAATATGATAAGCTCACGGTCGAAATAGATCTATTTTTCATAAGGATCACATGTCTTACGGCTTTTATTTCCATAAGAGGCACTAAAAATGCAAATAAGGGAAGTTAATTGGCTAAAACTATTATTCTATGGGAAAAGAAGCAATAAATGTTGTTTTCTTTGATACGTCATTATTTTCATATATATTCAAATTTATTAGGAGGCCATATTCATTTTATCTAAGGTATGTGGGGGTGCCCATCGGCTGCCTCCCTTCCCCCCCCCCAGGTCGATGGCGCAAGAATCTATCCACCACTCCCAAGATATTTTATTGCTTACCTTTACCTGAAAACAGAGCAAGCGAAGGTAGAATTAGAAAAATCGCTGATCATATACAATTACACTTGCTGCGATATGTCCCATGTGTATGTCCCTTGCCTCTTAGTATGAAAATTTTTAGTTTCCGAAAATTTATAACTACCCCAAAATATGCTTTCCTCAACAATTTTGACAACTTGCGCTATCCAACCTCCTTCTGGGTACCCCTGTTTGGCATTTCAGATAGTGTCCATTTTATATTTCCATGTCCTCATATATTTTATTATTTATGATAAATACTTAATGGTTGACCTTTGTATAATTTTGAGGAAGGAGATGATCCGGGGTTGCGGTCATAAAGAGACTAAAATAGTGGAAAAACTATTTTGTTTCAAGGCAATGTTTCGACCCGACTTTGGAAGTCTTTTTCAGGGAGATTCGTTAAAACTGAAACTCCTTCCAAAACTGCTGCTACTGAAACTTCTTTCTGAGCGTACCTTCCTGAAGAAGACCAATTTAAGTCGGGTCGAAACGTTGCCTAGAAATAAAATAGTTTTCCAATATTTTAGTTTCTTTATGATCGCCACCCCGGACAATCTTCTTCCTCAAAAACTTTAGTATTTATGGTTGATGTTTCAGTGTAAAACTCACCCTTTTTAATTTCAATTAAATCATCAGTTTAAAAAAAATAAATATTGATTATCTATCATTATTATATACATTAAAAAAAAAATAAATAAAAAGAAGAAATCAGTTTTCTTCTGTTGTGAAACTTTTGGTTTGTCAAAATCAAATTCATGGTGTAATTTTACTGAATCATATGCTATTGCTGTGCTACTAGAATTGTTTATGTTTTTACGATTTTTTTATGGTTGGTCCATTCTTGTTTTTAACTTTTTGTAGGTTAGAATATTTCATAACAATGCACTCAATCCAGTCTAAGTGTTATGTTGGTTTCTGTGATGGTTGAATTTTATCTTTCATATTTGTTGTATGATTTTATTTTTATTGTAGCCTAAAACTTAAGTTGTATCGCTAATTCGATGATTGCCATTCTCAACCAACTTTGCTCATTACAAAAAAATCATAATAGGTTTGTGCCTTGGCAATTAGAAGTAGATGATGAACTTCGATTGGTATGAGAACATATAGGAACAACGCGTGTGGACTAAAAGTTCAATAAAAATCGGAATAATAGAAGTGAGTAATATGTCGTTCACTAGGATTTGACTTCTAGACAGACAGACACGAAACCAAATTTTTAACCTGCTGCAAAAGTACTTCCAAAAAAAGCTTTTGCTTACGGATTCACGAACTATTTTCCTTGGTGAATCTATATTTATTAACAGCTCGTTCGAGTTGACCTAAAGTTGGAGTAAATTTGGGAAATAGTGTATACATTTTCAAGTACCATAAATTCTCATTTAACACTTAAAATTAATATACCAATTATTCAGGCCCGTCGAGTGAGTTTTTGGCGCCCGAACACTTTGAGGCGAGCGTAAAGTTTCTTGGACATTGGCTCCAAATTACTGAGAAATTGCAGTATATTGCTCGAATTTCGTCTGTTTGGGTTTTTTAACTCAAGCCATTTGGTCGATCAGATGCATAAATTAAAAGCAAAATAATAAAATATTAATTTTTATTTTATCTTGGTAATATTTTTTAAAAGTTATGTGAGTACATATGAAATATTTCTGGTGTACCACAATAATATTCTAGTATAAATAAATAATTTATATATATATACAGGGTGTCCTATAAGTAGAAGGAAATATTTAAAAGGTTGATAGAACATATCAGGATCTACAAAAAATTTAATATAAACAATTGTCCAATTTCCATCAGAAAAGTAGTAAATTTAAGATTTGTGTTTTTTTAAGCGAGTCACGTATTTTGTTAAATAGGAAGCGATAGCTTAAAAAATATTTGATTTAAGTAACTAAAAATTTCTTCTAAATAAACTAGATAAAATTTACTTTAAAAGAAAGTAGAGTTTTTCATTGTTAAAACTATTTAAAGAGAGTCCTCTTGGGCGGACAAACACAGCGAAGTTTCATTTAATTTTTTTTTTAAATAATGTTTCATACCATCTATATTTTTTTCTTTGACTTCTCTTATCTGAAAATATTTATTTCTGCTAATAAATAAACTATAAAAAATAATCCTCCTAGAGGAGGATAAAAGAAAATTTTGTTGTGCGTGCACCACACCAATTTTTTTTTTAAATCGTGTACCTAATGAGTAAATTTATTTAATTTTATATTTAAAATATTATAACCATCTGAAAATAAAAAAAGTTTTTGTTTTATTATAAATTTGTTATATAAATCATCATAGGCCGTATGAAAGTGAAATAGGAAGTATTTTAACTAGCGTGACCCCAGCATTGAGCTCCAACTACTGACTCATCAGCATTAATGGAAGAAACCCTATCCATGCATTAAGCTCATTTTGTGAACAACTATTTTTATAATTACATTTGTGAAAAAAAGAAAAGAAATGTTTTCAATAATTAATAGTAATCTTTTTGTGGTGAATTTCGATATTTTTAGTCCCGATTTATGTATAAATTTTGCATTTTATTTTAATTATTGTCAGGCAATTTCACTTTCAAAATACTTTTGTTATTGAATGAATATAGAACGTTTACAAAAAAATCTAGAAGTTTTCATAAATTTTTATTAATTCATTTCATCAATTGTTTATAAATTTCTTAATCGTACTATTAATTTTTCAGTTAATTTATGAATTAGTCAGTATAATAATAGATTGATTAATTTAATTACGTATGACTAAATAATAATAAAAGGAATCCACATAAACGTTTGAGAAAAAAATTATGCAGACTCCGAAATGTCCAAAATAAAGCAACTAATTATTTGTATAAGTAATATTATTATATAAATCTTTATAATTTAAAAATTTTCTATGGTAGCATTTTAAATTATTCAAAATTATCATTATAAGTAAAAGTTTATAAGAAAATGTATTTTGAATTACTTGAGAATCATTTTCAGAATATTTCAGGGATATATTATATATTATTCAGTGATGTATTTTATTTTATATAAAAAAAATTAAAACTTATCTTCATTAGGATCAACAACATACAAAGATCCAAAAGTACTAGTTCAGTAATCTAGTTGGGATGTAATCTTTTTTTAAACAGAGCTCTTTGGCAAACTATCAGCTGTTCTACAAGCAATTATGTTCTCTCTTTAATACATTGTATCAAAATAAATGTTTTTTTTTTTTTATAATTTCTTATAAATATAGAATTAATATGAAAAGTTTTGATGTCAATTTTCTTATAATTAATTATTTATATATTGCTTATCGTAAAAATTCATCCTTTATAAGAAACAAAATGATAATAAAAATAAAAAGAAAGGCATAATTTTTTGCATTAGACATACTTCTATAGGACATAAATATAAATAATAAAGGTTGTCCATAAAATATTACAAAAAATCACAATAAAATAAATGGCTCACAAATTACAACAAAATGAATAGTACAAAAAACAAATCATTTTATAATTTTTTCCATAACCTATTTTAACATAAAATAAGAGAATTTGACACCTATATCAGACTGATGTTGGTAAAACCAAAATAACCAGGGCTTGAAATAAAAAAAAAACAAACTATAATTTCAAAATGTTTTGGTGTCACTGGAATTTTTATTGTCGATAGTTTTTCAGTTCTATTCGAACTAGAACTTTTTCCCTTGCAACTTTTCATTTAAAGGTTTTACAGAACTTTTATTTAAAAGTTCTGTCAATTTCACTAAAAAGTAGATCTAAAAAATGACTTTTATTCATAGTTTCTCAAACAAATGATAAATTAGACTTATTTGTAATTTATTTAAGACAAATTATAACTCTAATTTAATATTTATTTTTTAATTAACTGAACTTTTTTCATAAACTTTAATAAATACAAGTTAAGCTTTTAAACCATAAACCTCCGACTGCTCCAACACTTACTAGATAAACGCTCTAAACTTTCAATTAATTACAAAAGACTCATCTATATAACTATAATAAGACCTACATGGACATACAGAGTTGAGCTTTGGGGCTCCACCAAACCATCGAATTCTTATCATATTCAATCATTACAATCCAAAATTCTTCATAAAATCTTTAATGCTCCATACTTTGTCACAAATAAAACCATTCATAAAGACCTTAATGTACCGTATGTCACTGATTTAGCCCGAGCCAGATATCTTTCCTTTCATGATAAACTTAAGTCCCATCCAAATCCTCTTGTTTCCACCCTTACTTCTTCCTTGATTCCTGATAATCCTCCTAGGCGTCTGAAAAGGAGATGGCCTCGTGATCTTCTTACCTAGAATTATTTAGGGAGTGCTACCACTGGGTAGTATCTCTTCAAGCCTGCTGTTCATGTCATTATTTCTAATTTGTGCACATTTACTAGTTTTATTTGTATACAGTTGTAAATTTCATTAAATAAACAAAAAAAAAGTTAAAACATAAACATAGAACTTTATTAGAAAAAAGTTCCTTAGAACTACTTTTTTAAAAACTTGTTTTCCTAAAAGGTTTCATAGAAACTGTAAAAATAGTATTAAAAAAAGTTTCAACCCCTAAAAATAATCAACAATGGATTATCTTCTAAAGACGCCATCCCTGATAACTCATACATTTTCCTAGAGAGAAAAGTAGAAAAAAAACTATTTTGTCTTCCATGGGATCTGCTAGGGCATTCGAACACCAGAGAAAATAGTAAAATTTGTTCCATGTGTAAACCTATTCATTCATGTAGGCTATAATATTAACAATTTTCATTTTGATATTTTGAAATTTCATTTGATATTTCTCTATAGATAATACCGATATTAATAATTTCATTTTTTTTTTTTTTTTTTGCAGATTGCTGTCGGAATTTGCTTAATATTTAAAGGAAGATTCGATCTGAAAGGAGATGAAAAGAGGATACAAGCCAATGCTATAAATAATTATGTTATTGTTGGAGTCTTCTTGGTGACCATCATTAACGTATTCATCGCAGCCTTCAGTATAGGGCCAGAAGCGATTCCACCTTCGACCACGACGTAGCTTCTATAATTTTAGATCTACATTTTACATAACTATATTCATCTTGATCTTATAAGTGCTGTGATAAAGAGTGTGATTTTCTGTAGTTGCTACAGCTTTGATCTGAAGGGCACTATAAGTGCTTTTAGTTTAGATTTCAGTGCAATAATAAGTTGTGAAGAAGTAAAATGGAAGCTTTTGTAAGAACTTTCAACTGACATTGAAAACTTCAATAAGAGAACATGTTTTAATAGAAATATAATAAAATAGAAAAAAAAATAATGATCGCTAGCTGAGATATTGCTATATAAGACATTTCATATAATTCTGTTGGTTGTTACAAAAAAAAAAATTAAATTTGTACCTAAAAAATTAACAGAACTTACAATTATAATAATTTCAACATTATGAGACAGCTACACAGTAGAGATGTACGTTTTTGTAACTTTAAGAAAAATTAAGAGTTTAATTGTTAAGAAAAAACAGCTGTTTCAAAATTTTAAAGAATCAGAGTCCAATGCCAAACGTATCTCTATATTATTAAGGTTCTTTTATGTATTTAACATGATTTGTTTATTTCCAAAGTGAACTCTAATAAATTTTTGTATAAATTGAGATAAGTATCAAATCCCATTTAAAAACAACCAATCAATCTGATGGTGCAATTTATTTATTCTTTTCAGAAACAAACAATGATTAGAAAAAGTGGTGAGAAAATAAGTTTATTTTCAAAAAGGAATCTAATGAAACTTGAAATACATTATTTCTTAAGCATTCTTTAAAAATAAAATCATCAAAGGTTTTTTTTTTTTAAAGCATTTTATTCAAATGAAAATTAGAAATAAATTTATTTTATTGTACCAGTATTGTAATTTTTTAGTGTTCATTTTTTACATACATTTATTGTACATTGCACACCTCCGAAAAACAGCTGTTTTATAACATCTGAGTTAAATGCCAAAGGTATTTTTTATATTGATTAGGTTATTTTATGTATTTAATGTAATAATTTTATTTATATGTATTACCTAGTTTTAAGCTGCTTTTTTTTCATCTTCTTTTTTTTTTTTTTTTCAAATTTTGTGGAAGCTCTTTAATAATGATCTGAAATGAAAAAAAATAATGATCTGAAATGAAAAAAAATAATGATCTGAAATGAAGCTATATAATAATGATCACACATTGAAACCATTTTCAATGTTATAAAATGATGAATTTGTTATATTTCAAATCTCTTCATGTTTGTTTCACTGTAATCATAAGTATAGTTATTTAAGAACACCAAATATATAAATGTACACATCCATATAATGTAATAAATTATAATTATACGTTAATATTACTTTTGATTGTGATTAATTGTAGTTGAACATAATATGTCACATATACTTCAGAGAAGTACTATTTTACATTATATAAAAAGAATTACTGTACCATCAAATTGGGAAGTATGCACTCTCTAAAAAAAAAATAAAATTTTAATTTTTTCAATTTCTTTATATTGTATCCTCCATACTTTTATCTTAAAGAAAACTTTTTTTTTTTTAAATTTTAACTTGTTTAATAATGAAATAAGTAGTTATTTTATGTTTAGAATTTTATTCCGCCTAACAGAAAACATAAAGGAATTCTGTCTAATCCAGGTAAATACCACATTATGCCCCTTTATTAATTTATTGAAGTTCATTTTTATCAAAGTTTCTGTTTTATATTTAGGACGTTGTTGAATCTTGTCATTCAATCTTCTCTGTAAGATTACTGTATTTTAATTTTAACCACTGCTAATTTAAGGGTAATTGTTCTACCCAACAAAAGAGAAATGTTTTGCAATTGGAATTGTTGCTAAACATCATTAATTACAGGATATATATTAATAGGATTTTTCCGAATGCCGAATAACTCCCTTTTTGTAATAAAAATATTTTTGAAAATAAAATAATATCTCAATTGACAAACAAAAGCAATCAACTCTTTCATTTTTGTTCAATATACCTACTTAGTAATTTCTAAGACAAATTTGACAGGGATACTTTAACATACTTTTTAGTAAATCAAATTTGAAGTTATAAAATTATGTTATTTCAGAGCATGTATAAATAAATAAGTTAATAGGTCAAATTATGAAAGTTATATTTGGTTAATGACTTTCTTAAATAATGGGCATCCATATCTATATAATAAAAATTATAACTGTAAAAAATATCTATCTTGCACATCACACAACTTTCACTTACTGTTTTACTAAAAAAAGAAATTGCTTTCTGAAAAAATTGGCTATTACAAAAAGTTTTTAAAAGTAAATTTTAAGCACATTTGTGAATTTCTGTCAATTCAAAAACTCAATAAGACTATCAAAATAACATAAAAACATATTTAATATATCGGTTGTAGGCAATAAAAACCTTATAACTCCATTAATCTATTTGAACTATATTACTCCTGTCTCTGCAATGGTGCCCAAATGAGGGCGTAAACATTCCATTAAAATGTTTGAAGGGATTTTAAATTTTTGAAGGAAGCATATTTCGTCGTTTTTATAAATTTTCGAAATAATAATATTCAAATCACAATGAAAGCAGATGCAAATCACAATGATCTAAAGATGGGATAACAAAGGCGCAATATTGATATTGTCGTTCATATTAATATCGATATATAACAATCGATTCCATCAAAATATCAGACTTGAAATGATATTATTTACTATAGTTGTGATATTATTTACTTATTTAGAATATAATTTACGATAATTCTCGTTATTAGAGCGTTTTCAATCTGGAGATCGACAAATTTTGTCTATTTAATTAGGCACTAAAAACTCGTAAATACCGATTTGCTTTCCGCTTAGATCGTAAAAAAATGTGGCCTTCAAAATTATCGAGGCGTTTGGCGTAATCTACATCCTAAAAATGTCAAAATGACGAGGTTGTATAGGCCAAACGGACAAATATTTTTGTAGGCAACCTTTTTTTTTTTCGATTTTCTGATCAAATTATCTTACGATATGAGTGGAAAGCAAATAATTATATACGAGTTTTTAGTGCCTAATTAAATAGATAAAGTCTGCAGGCCTCCATATTGATAACGCTCTGATTCCAAGAGTTTTCGCTAATGAAATAGTTGTAGGTTACGATGAGATGAAGCGATTCACAAAGTTTCAGGCGGATGTTAATAATTTGATAAAAAAGTGGCCTGTACCGCGGACTAAATCAAGTATTAAATTTTGCAATAATTTATTTTTATTAAATTTCGTATTTAAGAGTTTCAAATGGCAAAAACGAATCTTACTTGCATTTTCATAACAAAAAATTTATTTGGTCTACTTTACTGGAAGAGTCTTTTGGTTTTTGTAATTTATGAAACATTATAATTCATTTTATACTTTAGGCAATATTTGTTTCTTATTCTGAACAAAAAAAAAAAATCTTGTGCGGTGCACGCATCACACAACTTTCACTTCGCTCTTTTCTTAGCAGAAATAAGTATTTTCAGACAAAGGAGAAGTGAAAGTAAAAATTATAGCCGCTATATTTATTTATATTTCATTGTGGGAATTTTTATTTGTATAATTAGTATCCTTAACTTTCACAATCACAATACTTTACTATATATTTCATATGTGGGTAAGTAAAAGTAAAAATAAACAATATAAATTTTGTTTGTAATAATATAAAACTAGAGGAGTACTCCTTGTCCGCCAAACGGCGTACCAACCCCCGTTTTACAAATTATACAACTGTTCATTTAATTGAATTAATCGTTGCTCAAATTGTATAACTTTAATTTACTTGTATGCTGTAGTTCAGATTGTATTATTTTTTATCGAAATCAAATAAACTAAATGAAACCATAATTCGAACAAATTTTTAATCCGTACATATATTATTACAGTAAGGCTCGAAATCGGTTTTGTACCAAATATAAGCTCCTATCATGCTCAAATGCCATGAATGGGGTACCGTTGGATTCAGAATTTCACGGGGGGTTAGCGAATCGTATTCTTCGCTTTTGTTTTTCTTTCTAAAATAAATAAAGTCGGTACAAACATTTTGCTAGGCTTCGATACTGGAACGGTGGTAGGTCTGTAGATCGATGCGGGGCAAATTGGATCTTAAAGATTTTGATGCGTACAGCAAGACCCGGATAGTTCTGCCGAAACTATCGGATCCTGCGTTCTTAAGCCGAAAAACGTACTATTTTCGAGATAACGCAAGGCATAGGGTTCGCATCCACACAACCTTACATTAATTGTAGTACTGTCATTGAACACATGTCTCATTTCGTCGACTTGAGGTCTCTATGATCGAGAGAGGGGGAGTTTATATTATTCATAGATGGTGTTTTTGATCGGCAAGCCATATCATCGTTAATTTTTCACCAAATCTCAAGACTGAGCCACCAATTTCGAAGGCTTCCTTCTCCTTCAGGCTGGCAAAATAGTCCAATCACCCAGAAAATTCAGGCAAACAAGTTATGAAAGAAAATAAACTTTATTTGCGAATAACTGAAAAATTACACACTTTTCCCTCGGTTATTCCCATGATTATATAAAATATTACTAAATTCCCTACAAAAGGAAAAAAAATTCATCGCAATCGAACAATTTTTAGCAAAGATACAGCTTACTGTATGAAATTTGTATACATGTTGTTTCCAAACAAAAATGAAGATTTAAATAAATTTTTGTTTGCTTTGTCGATTATATTTATCGATAAAGTAACATTTGGTGTCTTAATCTTTTGATAAGTTGCATTTTCTTATTTTCCTATTAATTTGGCATTTGATAACAATATGCTGTGCGAATTTTTCGCAAGGGCCTACTAGTATCTTTAAAACTCTATATTACACATCGCGCATTATTGCCAATTTTTATTATTATATAATTATAATTATTCTTTTTGTCAATTTGTAACCATAATATATATTCAACTTGTTCAGCTTCATATAAGCACAACATCAATTTGAGCATTTTATTTCTAATATTTTCATTGTACGTTACATTGTGCTTCCATAATAATTATAATGATATCGTAATATAATATAAGTAATACTACATATATATAATATAATAATTAATATATTGTTTTAAAGGGAGAAATGTCTTGATCGAAAAATAAGTCTTGTCATCTAAGCAAAATCAAACTACCACCACCTCCATATGAATACCATTTTCGTTACAAATTTTTGGTCTGAAATTTTTATTATGTATTAGGAGAGAATTTACATAAGCTTAATACCGTAATGAAACCACCAGTGGGTTAATTTATCTATTTTGTATTAGGAGGATTTGAGCTTACAGGAGCTCAAAACATATGTAATTAAATGAACAGCTGTATAATTTATGAAAATTACAGAGATAATAGGAAGTTAATAGGAGAGCTCTTGGAATCTCCTACTTTCCTAATATTAAAATAAAATAAAATATGAAAGTCACTAAAAACTTTTTTGTATAATATAGATATTTTTTTCTCGACTCCTATGGAATATTGACATCAACTGTCAAATCAGTAAGTGTTTAGAGGGTTTTATTTATCTTTGAGTACATGTAAAATCTAAATAACTTATAATTCTCTTCTAAATAAACATTTCTTTTCTATCTTATTACTCCATTCGTCTCACTGTGTCCAGACCTCACACTGAGAGACCACGTATAGTCCGGATTGTTTATACTCTATATTATATGAACGTTGTATATTGACCGCATTGTTTATATTCTATTGTATATTCGTTGTATGTAGTCCAATTGTTTATACTCCATTGTATATACGCTATATATATAGTTCGGATTGTTTATACTCCATTGTATATACGTTGTATGTAGTCCAATTGTTTATACTCTCAGAATGTGCGGTTACGTTCAGTTTATTGCTAGATCTATTGCAGCGTAGTCTTAGTGTTGGCTTCTGTTATCATTAAAGTGTTAGATGGATATCAGTTTTGTGGGCGACTATGAGGTAAGTTGTTGTTACAATCAATATATAACAGAATAGCGATGGAAATATCGAATGAAAATGTATTATATATATAATTATAATGGCTGTCCCGTAAGCAGAGCAATATATTTAAAAGGTTGATAGTAGACATCAATATCTTCAAAAAAGTTCATATAAACAATTGACTAATTTCTAGTAGAAAAGTAGAAAATTTAAGATTTGTGTTTTTTTAAGTGAATCACGTTTTTTGTTGAATAGTGAGCGATAATTAAAAAAATGTTTCATTTAAGTAATTAAACGTTGATCCATTGTAAACTAGACAAAATTTACTTTAAAAAAAAAATAGATTTTGTCATTGTTGAAACCATTTAAAAAGGGCTGATAACCGGATAAATAAACCTAAGTTCCATTTTTAAATTCATAAATTATCTGTGTTTCTTTTATTATCCTTCAATTGTACTAAAATCTCACTTTTTGAAAACTTCTCAGCTTTAAGTCCAATTAATTAAGTTGAGGTTAATTGGGAAATTTTTTGGAAATTCATTTCAAGTTCTTTAAAGAAATGAAGTGATTTTCTATCCTGTCATCTAAAAGTTCTCCCGTGTTTACAGCAAAAATTACAACAATTAACAAATAAATAAAGCCTATATTTCTTGAATTGATTGATATTAAATTGATGTCCATTGATCTTGAATGTCTTATAGTAAATATAATTGCCTTAATACATTTTTTTTTAATTAAAAAAGAAGAATTTAATATAATATTTTTCAAATATTTTTCATCTAAAGTGGTTATGAAATTCTGTTTTTCTAACAGATATCTGTCATAAGAACTGATCCGTATTAATAAGTGACGAAATTAATGTTTCTAGTCCTAAAATTTACGATTAAAATAGAAATCTACAGATTCCTTTAATTATTTTCCTGAAAACTTAAATATTAATGCTAGAAATATTAAGTATGTCACATATAAATATGCATTAATTCTTATGACAGATGTCTGGCAAAAAGAACAGCAACACAATTTCATGACCATCTAACATGAAAAATCGTTATTTTTATAAATTAAATGTGTTTTTAGTCAAATATCTTTATTACAATAAATCCCATATCACGGAAAAACAAAAAATAAAAGCTTTATTAAAAGTTATTCTAGTCACAGGCAAATCTACGGGAGGGTGGGAGAGCTTTCGAGCTGAAGCCCAACAAAATATTAAAATGTAACCATGTTTTAAGGAAATTTAAAAAAAAA